AAGTAACATTTGTAGTTCTGATTGCGTTGGCTCAGAACTTGACTTCCTAAAAGCCACGCTTACTCAAAACGGTTACCTGAAACGATTTATTCACAGTAACACGGAAAATAAGCAGTCTAAACTGGTCACCGACTCAGTTCCAAAGAAAACCTTATTCGTGAACTTGGAATTCAAATATGATCAAGCTCCAGATATGCCCAAAAACCGTCTCCATAAAGCAGTCAGTAAAATGATCTTTACAGCAAAATTACAAATCACGTTCACCAGGCTCAAGTTGTTCTCCATCTTTGTAAAGGATAAGCTCCCCAGGCTAGCCACCTGCATGTGCATCTATCAGTTCACCTGCTCTTGTGGAGCAAAGTACATTAGCCGTAGCAAGAGGACGCTTTCAAAACGGATGCGAGAACATTTCCAGCTTCGCTTCACAAGGGATAAAAAAGTGTGTGTGAAGCTCTATTGTAGAGCAACTGATCTACTCCTGTGACTCTACCAACTCTGATCGCGATTTTAAAATCATCTATCGAATCCATGCTAACTTGTCGCGTTTACTTCTTTATAAACTTCTAAAGACAGCGGAGGCCTTAACCATCCATGAATTTAGGCAAGACATTGTGTACAAAAGGATTATGTAGAGGGATAGACATTTATTTATTTATGTATTTTGTTTATTTAGTTATTCTACGTACCTTCCCCTTATTACTACGATTTTTATTATTATTGTTAATATTCTAACTCAGAATTGTTTCCGCTTTTCCCACTTGTTATTCTAAACCCTAAATTATTATTTTTTTTGTTTTTACAATATTGAACTCTATCATATCAGTTTTCGTATTCGTCTACTAATCCTATAATTATGCACCCCTTTCCAACATTTATACACTTTATGTATTATTCTATATATATGAGATAAATTGTTTCGCTACTTGACGTTTAACTGTGATTATAATCACAAATATTTTAATTGCATTTCATACTACTACTATTATTACTTTATGTGTTCACACTTTTGGTCTAATTACCTCACCGGATATAATTTCTTAAAAACCATTTGTATGTATACGATTGTATAGCTTGATAATAAATTCGTCGCTGAAAAGAGTCTCTTCGCTGAATATTGTGTTGTTAATGTTACAATGAGGATTATTAAATTATTATTATATTGTTTTTAATATTTTCACTTAATTTTACGTTCATACTCTCATTCGACAATATTACCGATGTAAATGTCCGGTTTTATTATTACCCTTGTAATGAAATTATTAGACGTAATACTATACTATATGCTGAAAATTTCATATTTGTGCCAAAAGTTTTGTTTGAAATAAAGCTGTTATTATTAAACTATTATATTAAGTTTTTAAAGGACATTAGTATTGTTTTAAAGGGGTGAGGTAAATAAATTAGCTTAAAGAGGCTTAGAAGTGCATCAACCGGGAATCAATTCCTAGCCACATGAATTCGGACAGTGAATCACCATTTATATATTCGACTGAAAAATATGCACCTTAATATTAGTCCACTAGAATCCAAGCAGAAATATACGATAGCTCATAGGTGAATACTATTGTTATTAATGGATATAGTATGAGGATTAAGGAACCTTAGGCCTGTAGATTACTACTAAATGAGAAGTGAACATCTTAAAACATGTGTCAGACTATTAATTAAGTCACGAGGCAAAGCGAAACGGAACCAGATGGAATTGACTCCAGAGGTGTTTACGGACAGTGATTACAGATTTCTGTCTAGGTTAACTAAGGTATTAGGCAACATCTGGGAGTCAGAGATAGTCCCCGTTGGACTGGTATAAATCAGTGATTATCCCAGTAAACGAGAAAAAACACAAGTCCTTTTGCGATAATCACAGGGGGATCAGCTCGCCTGATATGGTATCTTAAATTTTAGGCTCAGTAATCATGCGTAGATTAACGGCACTCAGGAGAAACAAACTCTAAAAAGACAGGCAGGCTTTAGATAAAGAAGAGGGTGTATTGACTATATATTCATCCGTCGATAGATTTCTGAACATAGGCATATTTTTCCGGCGTCCAACAATTGCTATATTTTTTTGACCTGAAGGAGAAATTCAACTCCATCGACTGAGAGAAACAATGGCAGTGTCTAGATGTGAAGGGATCTCCAAGAAAGTACATCACACTAATCAAGCCAATCTACTCAAACTCATGCAGCCAGCCAGGTAAGAGCCTACGGAGAGTTTTCATCTGAAGTAATGACAACCAGTGGTGTCCGTCAGGGATGCCCACTGTCCTCATTTCTGTTTAATTTCATCATAGATGTACTAACGGAATTGACCACAATCGACTTAAGCGATTTAGAAACGGACTTGTTACCAGGGAGTAGTATTGTTGGCTTTGAATACGCGGATGGTATAATCATCCTAGGTAAAGTCGCTGACAAAATGCAAAGTCATCTAAATATCTTTAGAGGCAATCTTCGAATGTTCAACATGCATTTTGCTGAGAAAATATTACTCTTAATGCATTTAATCCTACTCCAAAAATATGGTAGAGATAGGTGGATGACACTTTCACAGTGTTAAAACAGAACGAATCTCTAGCTTCCAGACACATATAAATCATTAGTAGAGGGAATAAAATTCCCGTTTGAATCAGGAAATGAACAAGGAGAGTTAGCTGTTATGTTAGATTGTAAAATAAAACGAACAGAAGAAGGTAAACTGCAGGCTCTCTTGACATTTTAATCTGCTGACTCAACAAAAGAACCTCATCAACCCACGAAGGCAGAATGACTTACTCAATCGAGTACTGGTGGGTGCGTACTGCTGAAGAGTCCCAAACTAGGACGAAACAGCTGTCCAGTACTCCCAGGTTTTCCAATGGTTCTCTAACTGATGTCAGCTCATGATGAAATCCTGTAACCAATCAAATCCCTACAAACCAACACTCGAGTACTGTTTAATTAGTGTGATGTCAAATACACACTCAAATTCAGTAGACCAGGGTCAATTGAGTTATCGGAACATATGAATTTAGGCAAACCTAGCATTAATTGAAGATAATCTTAGAAAATTTCCGTAAAAAACCTTACAGCAGAGTGGGAGTTCATTATATGAACACACTTTACTAAGGCTCACACAATATTTAAATTGATTTTGATAAGACCAATTGAAGAATATAGCGCAAACGACTTTTGTCATATAAGACCCGTAAGTTGGATGAACTCACTCGTATGGCATTGAGTGACAGCATTCTCCTTCAAATTCAGGGTGTTATTTACTCATGATGGCTATATGTTAAAATGATACAAATGCATTCGAGTTAAAGGATGATAACGGGAAATACAAGTATAAGTATAATATAAGGTAGCAAGAGGCAAGATGGACAATCAGCATTTAGACCGCTTTTAGTATAAGGTACAACATTTAAGTCTTGAGCACCAATGTCAAATCATTCTGTTCTTCTTCATGTCTTTGAAACTTCTCAGGCTTGTCACTGGAAGAGTTTTCAACACACTGCAGACTTTTTACATTAGATGCCGTCACCTTATACTGAAGATTACATAGCCAGTCGGAAACGGTAGCCAATGGGGTACTCTGGAAGTGTGAAGATCCAACCAAAAATCTATCACTCCCAAGAAATATGCAGAGTTAAATTTTAGGGACGTTTCTCTTTGAACCCAGTACAATAATAGTGATAATATTTTCAACAGATTATTGACTGAAGCTTGGGAATGTTGCCAGGGAATGCGATGGCTCACTAATAACCTGGCCTATTTTACTAGCTCACTAGCTTATATGCCGCCTGTTAGCCCGAAAAATAGGGTAAGCTTGGCGAGAAGCTAGAGATTTTACCCGGGAAAATCAAACCCGTAGCTACAAAATCTTCGAAAAACAGAGAAAAAGCAAAAAGTATCACTAAGTAATACATATAATCCACTTGATTGAAAATCGTTCACAAGAAAACAGCGTCAGGACACTGAAAGTGCGAAGTGACATTCAAACTTAACTAAGTAGTTGGGACTGACTGCATTGTAATATGTATATCGATGGACGGCGGTCTATTACTCGTGTGATATTTATTCTGACGGTAACTTTATTCCATATTATACTGGTTATTTTACAATTTGAATTTCATACAAAATGAGAAATAAACTAAGATGTCCACTTGATATGTGTTCAAGTGCTAATATAACACTTTTCAATAAACCTTTTCATAACAATCTGTCGATCATCGTCATATCAACGAAAAATTCGAATATGAAAAATATAACATTTTACGAATGTGTTAATCCTAAATAAAGTAAATCTGATGCGATTGTGGACGTATATAAATGGTATGGCCTTTTTGTCTCGCGAAGCGTTGATCTGTAGGATTTTGGCAGATCTCATGACAGACTGATACCACTTAGAGAGAACCACTGAAGACTCCAGGATAGACAAAAAGTGGATCGTGACTGGCAGTGGAATCAAGCTTGATGAGCATTTCGCCCTACGTGGGACTCGTCACTGGAAGTTCCTGCATCCAGCAGTGAGTGATGATTTTCTCACCGAGGATCGAACCCATTGCATATAGTTTCAAACGCAGAAGCGTTATCCATTAGACCAAGTGAGCCACGACAGCCACCTCTTTTGCAGCGAGTCATATTAATTTAGTTGCATTTTAGATTTTCCCGTCGATTGATTGTTTATAATTACATGCCCAGGCATCGTCGAAGCATCTGTTCAAGAAGCCGACATATCTACCTGAGACTTAGCACTTCGGTCTAATCAATCGATGGGAAAATCTTGAATTGAATTTAAGAAATAAACAGTTGTTTCATTATGGTCATCACAAATGATGGTGACGTCGTGAGTGTTTCCTGCTGGAGAGCCCTGGTTGTGTAAGTGAGAACCATTTAATAAATCTACAGACCCTCTCATCTCTATAGTAGAATTCTCAATAAATCTATTTTATTGGGTAAAACATTCAATCAACCTCCAATTATTTCGAACTTTCTTTTTTAAAAATGTTATAACTTACCAACAATTGTAGCGAACACAAATACTCCAGTTAGATAAGACACAATTGTGAATGTCAACCTAAAAAAATTGAAAGGAGAGTGGGAAAGTTCTAGTTTATTAACTAATACATTCATATAGTTTTGACACTACTTATAATGCTTAATAGTAGTAACAAATTCATGCATCATACCACTAAGTGTTATTGTAAATGACAGGTTCTGCTGAAATAACAACATCAATATACACACACACGCACAACACAATATATATATATACACATATTTCGCATTCATCGTTACATGCTTACATTCAGTTAACTTTGTTTGACAGAAGAAGAAGGTTAGGAACCTGAATCGATTGAGACGAATAGGATAGGTATCACAAACGCCAATCCATCGATTTTCCCATCAAGAAATGCTACCTGAAGTATGCTTGGGTTGGAAATGAGTTACCTGTGCTCATATCAAGACATGGTATCATTCTTTGACTTCTTTCGGTTAGAACTATTTAGTAAGATGTAGGCTGTCTGTATGTGTTCCTTTAAAGTCGGTAGACCAGGAATTGGAGACTATGGATGACAATGACTTAAAATAGTTCTCAATATCGCAGATGGATTCAGTCTTTATGATTCATTATATTGTGACTAGCATTTCTCCGCTTTTATGCATTGACTCGGAATTCCTGGATTTTATAGGAAGTTCTAAGTTTAAAATTCAATTCATTTTCGTACCAATGCATGTGTTTATAAGACGCCCGACTTCAGAAGTATGGTATTCATGCTGTTTCCCTATGAAACATATTCCTGATGATGCATACTCTTTTCTGTTTCATAAACTTTATCATAAATAAATACACTTGAAACATTGAAATTGGCGCTACATATGATGAGAAATAATTTTATTACACGGGGTTTTCCTCTTTCTGACTTATAAAATGCGACATGCCTTAACTTGCAAGTTGATCAACAAGTCGGACTCACAAAGCATAAAAAGCTTTACAAGTCCAACGCAGAATACTTGCTTCCTGATTAATTGCTTTCCGATAAACTTGTTCTTACGTAAGATCAGACAAAATATTATACGACTAATGAAAGAGATTAGAGTTAGTCAAGAAGATGTTATGCAATAATCCCTATATTTGACATACCTTTTGACATTGAGTCGAGTAGAAACTTTGCATTCCCTAATTCACCAGCCAAATACATTTTTATGGAAGAGATTACGTGTAAGCCTTTGGTCATGTTACAGAATATTTAGATGCAATGAACTGCATAATTCTAACATTTTTCATAGTCGTGAATTTATATGACTACTTATTATTTCTATAATAAGGCATAACAGTTTGGAATTTCAAGCAGATTTACACTGCGGTGGTATGTCCGGGTTACATAAAAATCTCCGCTCAACACAAATGCATCAAATTCATTATATCTTATATTGTCTTTTAATCATCCAGTAACATTTTCCGGTCTCAGAGACTATTAGTACTCTAACGACAGAAGACAAGGGTCAGACAACAGATTGCTTATTGATAAAATCAACAGATATTTATAGATTTTTATGAACATTATTGTCAGAGGAGAAGCAAAGTCTTCTGATTGGTTGTTTTCATGCTAAAAGTCATTCTGTTATCTCTTTGCGGCCGTTTCTCAGAAAGTGAAGCCATATATCTGAGAATCTAATTTACACACGTTAAGTCTGTTATGGTTAGTTGGTGAGTTCCTCAAGGTGAAGATTTGTTATTGTTTTTCTAATACCGCCGATTTGGGATGTCACATTGACGTAAATCGCTGCCTACAACTTTGACTAGCAGACAGCTCTCACCACACTGCTACTCACACGCAGACATTTTCGAACAGCCTTCAGCCTACTGTTCCGTGCATTTCTCGAAGAAAATGAGGAAAAACAATGTGAGTTAATGGAGTGAATATTCCCTTCAGATTGAACAATAACTATTACGTCACACACCATATTGTCGACTAGCATTTTACTTGATGATACTACCCAAACACAGTGAGGAATAGAGCTGTAAGTAATATTAATGTTATCATAAGTAAAAACGTCTGTTGTAAAACATTCGTATGACACTGTGACAACAGATAACCAGGAAGTATTGCATAACGACAAAAACAGTCATTACACATGCATTCATGAACATGCATCAAAAAATATAGATGTATGACAAACATTCTTGTAAAATAACACAAATGTTTAATACCATAAGTTGGATACTGAATCCTCGTGATCCGGAACCCTGAATTGGATAAATTATAGTAAAGAATGAATATTGTATACATGTATGTATATAATAAGCGAAGAAAAGTTTACTGACTGATTGTCTGCAATAGATGTCTTTTCAGACTCTACAATTATTATTATTGTTATTCTCTTTGTTTCCAAGTGGAAAATAAGTTTTCAACAACACACCTCTACTATTTTCTATTCTTTGCTATCCTCTTCAGCTGAGCCCAACATTGCCCATTGTCTCTCATTTCCTCATCACCACACGATTTCCTACATGTCACTCTCGCAGCAACGTCGCCTCTCATTGGGATTCCACTCGAGCAATGGCCTGCACTGCGCGTGATGTCATTCAACGGTTTCCTCAGCTTATGCTTGATCCCTGTCCATTTTATCTTACATATTTGCTGAGCGATCAACTCTTCGTTGGTTCACTGTTGGTCAGAGTTCCTTACTGCTAATTCTTTCTGACTAGCTGACCATTTGATCTTCAATATGAAACCAGTGTAGGCAGTTGTTTACAAAAGTCTGTAACTGGCTCTTGGAAGTTCTTTTCATGACATGCAATACAAGTTCCTGACCCCTATAAAAGAACCAACTGACTACACATTTCTTTACGCTGTACGCAGTGCAGAAGATTACCAAACTTGTTTCAGAATGATGAAGGCGTATCTTGTCTTTCTGATTCTGACTTTGACATGTTCATCCGCTCAGTGCGCCTACAGTTGAAACGATGCTTTCTGGATAAGTGAAGGAAGTACTTTCTTCCAAATTTATTGGTGTTGGTTGTTGCTGCAATTGGTTAGTTGGTTATCTTCGTCACCTCCGTATTCGCTATATTCAAATGCAGTCCCGTCTTCACCGGCTGCTGCTTAAGCCAGTTTTTAGTTTTCCCCTGAATGTCTTCGAGTTTGTGGGTCATTAGACAGATCTTCTAGAGTCTTCTTATCGATCGTCCAGCGTATTCCTGACTCCTCGCCCTCAGCAGTCTGAAGCATAATCCAGTCCATCACAATTACGAATACCATCGGTGATAATAGGCAGTCAATCTTGTCCTACTCCCGTATGCACTTAGAAGGCCTTGCTGAGTCTTCTATTGTGGATCACCTGACACATACCACTGTCATATCACTGTTGAATGAGGTTGATACATATTTGGGAACTGTGAGCCGTGGTGTTGAAACAGTTTCCAAATCACTTCTCGGTCAACGCTGTCTGTCGAAGGCCTTTTCGAAGTTGGGGCAGGGAGTAGTTTGACTAACATTCTTTACTTTGTTCGAAGACGATGCATACAGTTTCAGTTTGGTCAGCCTTTCCTTAATCCAGCTTGTTCCTGTTGACGGAATCCTGCATCCAGTGCATCTTTTACTCTCTCCAGGATGACGAGACTTATTATTTAACTTGACGTGGAGAAGTGCATGATTCTACAAGTTTCTTGCAGAGACGTAAGTCGCCCTTGTTATACAGTTTGACACAGTAGCATTTCTTCTGACTGATAGGCAAGCGCAATAGTTATTAAACCATAAATATTAGAAAACCATGTAGAGATTACTAAAAATCAAGGAGCACTTGACAGCTGTTAACCTCCAGTTTAGCAGTATCCTTTTTATTTTTTTAAATTTTGTATTATGCCGGTTTACCCACACCACCACTACAAACACTGCATTAGACCTGACAATAAAAACCCTGAAATGTTATTTTATGATTGTTTAGTGTTGTTTCAACCGAACTAACTGATCTTCTTGGCGATAAACATTCTTAAATATAATTTCATAACTTCTCGTATGATTATAGCTTTACTGTCACCATGCATAATCATGTCATAGCTTCCACTACCCAATACTGAGATATTATTATATGCTGTTTATTTTCCTTTCTACTTCTTGGTATTTTTTCGCAATTTTTAAAATTATTTTGTGTTTTTCCTGTTTTTTTTGCTGTTGTTGTCTTTATATTTATTTTTTTGAAATACCCCTTTTAAACGTCGGATAAAAATTAGATGCAAATATTGTAGATATGTGCTGAAAATTCCACACTGTACCACTAGTACTGTTTCTGGAATAATGCATATTATTTTTTTATGATTATTTTTATTTTATTATAGATTGACTCCATATAGTATTTTTGATACAAGTATGAAATTTTCAGCATGTGGTAACGGTAGCCCAAATTTTACAGGCCGACCATTGATATTGAGTGTGCTTAGGCCGGGGATCAAACCCCAGACCATGTGTATTGACGGCGAGCGTACTAACCGCTGTGCCACCGACAGCTGTTAAGCTCCAGTTTAGCAGCATACATTAACGACCTAGTCAGGCATCGAGAACGGGGTCTCTAGGCTACGAGTTCAAGCTATTTCACTGTCAATCCATTTAGGCTGTAATATCTGGTTTTTCATGGTCTCTGACTGATTCCGATTTGTGATGAAATGTACATTGAAGTCAACCCAAATCACTAGAAAGGCCAAATTCAAAATAGCCCGTTGGTTAACATCTGTTAACTGAATGCATAAATAATGTAGTCATTCAGAACATAATATATGTCCAGTGTGATGCGATATACATCGTACAAACATCTCGAGAAATCAAAATCCGAAGAAATGAACACCGTAGAGCATCTCTTCGACCACCATGATATCCAGGTGAACTAGAAAAGCTTTAAAAATCAACATCCATAGGTTTACTGGCTATAGAATCAGGCCACAAAATTGATTTTAACAATATTGAAATCATCATCCAGAAAAAGCATTTCAGAAATCACAAAGAACATCTAATATCAGAAGCACTTCATATCAAGTGGAATCCAAATTGTCTGAATAGGAATGATGGACTAAAAGAGAATCTGACCTGGTTATAAAACCTCCCTCTCCTCCCCCATGAAGTGACAAAATCAACACGAATGTGATAAGCAAGTTGACTATGTAAACAAACACTGCCTTTATAATTTTACACACTGATCAAATCCAACAATCTACACTTGTAAACCAGGGAGTACAGGACAGCTGCTGTTTCATCCTAGTTTGGGAATCATCGGCAGTACGCACCTACCACCAGGGTTTGGACACAGGACCTTCCGGTTATAAAGCAAGCTCGTATACCATTCAGTCACTGAGACCCGATTCAATGGCCAGCCCATGAATTCTAACTTTTACCAATTCGTGATTTAGCGCGAGCCCAACCATTGTCGTTGGTGGGACATCCCTCCACCCACGTGACACCTAATTGGACCTCACTAGTCACGACTTCTCACTAGAATTCCAGGAAACTCCATCCTGTAGCAAGTCACTAGCGAGCCTCAGATTAATTTTCTACAGTTTGGTTTGTAAGAGTTAGTTATGTTTTTACGAGTTGATCAAGGATTGAAATCAGTTAGAGATCCAATGAATCCCAGTGGGTGCGTACTGCCGATGATTCCTAAACTAGGATAAAACAGCAGCTGTCCAGTACTCCCTGGTTTTCAATGGTTCTCTAACTGATAACAATCCGTGATCACCTCGTAAAAACATAACTAACTATTACAAACCAAACTATAGAAAATATACACTTGGTTTTGTTATCTTAACCAACTGACCAACTTGGCAACAAAAATGACCCCATACTGACGAACGTTGATCAAGTTAGTAGACTTTATTTTTATATCATAACAGATGTACTTTTACCTCTGTTATTTGGTTTAGTGATCTTCATTGTTATTTTGACTTTCAATATGTCGTCCTTTTAACTTGACCTAAGTAGTCTATTTTCTCACCCCTTAACTCTTTGTTATATATATGCTGAGATTTTGAAAATTCCGGTTTAATAATAGAACTTTGATAAAGCTATTAGCATTAAATAGCGAAACGTCAGTAAAAACAATATCGTTTTGTTTTTCATTCATTGGAAAATACAAAAACACCCTTTATTATAATGAATCACTAATCTATTTATAATCAAGAAAATACAAGTTTCAAGGGTGATAATGGGTCATATTCATTGTTATGAAAAGAAATGTGAATGCCACCAAAATATAAACAAACAAATAAGTTGATTTTCAACTATTGCTTTGTAAGGATTTGGTTCATTGGCTACAGGATTTCATCATAAGCTGATATTGACTAGAGAACCAAAGGAAAACCTGGGAGTGCTGGACAGCTGTTTCGTTCTAGTTTGGAACTCTTCAGCAGTGAACACCCACCGGGATTCGAACCCAGGACCTTCTGGTTACGAGGAGAGCTCGTATACCATTAAGCCACTGGGACCTGATCCAATGGCCCATGAATTCTAACTTCTACCAATTAACGATATAGCGCAACCGCTAGCCAATGTCTTCGGCGAGTACTTCTCCTCACACCCGGGTGGGTGCGTACTGTTGAAGAGTCCCAAACTAGGACGAAACAGCTGTCCAGTACTCCCAGGTTTTCCAGTGGTTCTCTAACCAATGTCAGCTCGTGATGAAAGTTGATTTTCCTTTTCACTTTGACTGGCTAAGTTGAAGTGCAATGTTCAGCCTATGCCAACAAGTCGGCTTCTATTTTATGTACGCTTCGACGATATCTTGGGTTAAAAAGAGAGTAATTTTGGCGGATGGCAACCGACAGTGGAATCAAGGATACGCATATTATCTTATTCAGGACTCAATACACCTGCAGTCTCCAGGAGAGACATCATCAGTACATGAAAATCCCTATTTCTTCAAATTCTCCGGTTTATAATTCTTTCGTTTTTCATTGTTTTTGTATGTCATACTGGCGGGGATTTTTAGTTCGATCATGCACGGATATTAGTTAGAGAACCGCCGAAAATCTAGGAAAATGACAGCTGTTTCGTCCCAGTTTCGTACTCTTCGGTAGCATGCACCCGTGCTCCCACCGGAGATTGAACTGACGACTTTCAGGTTGCAAGGCAATCCGGTATACCACTGAAATTTCAGTAGATGTAGTGATACCTATTCGGTATGAGGGATGTAGCCTCACACGCAGCCTACCATCCTTTTCTGGTTTAGTGGTGGCCATAAGACTTAGCAAGGTCTTGTAGT